CCCCAAAACCCCAAAACCCCAAAACCCCAAAACCCCGATTGGGTGAATAGTGATTATAATGGTAAATAGCATATATTAATTATTATCATTATAATAAATCACAAAATGGTAAGATATTGACTCTCTCTTCAATTTATAATAGAAACTCTACACCACTGAACGCTATGGCAACACTCATGCTGATCTATGCTTCATCATGGCTTATTTATCAGGCACCTAAGTTGAAGAAGTCAACGTTACCCTTGAAGAATTTAAAACTCTACCTGTGGCTCAAAAGGTTTTAACTCCATAATTACCAGCTTTAGAATTAGATGATGGCACAACTCTTACCTCATCACTAGCTATTGCCAAGTTCCTTGCCTCAGCCAAGCCAGACCTCTTAGGATCAACTCTCTTTGAGGAAGCTTAAATTGATCAATGGCTGCAAGTCTTAAGAAACGAAACCCAACCAATAGCCAGAGTGATCAACTATCAAGTCTATGGTCATCTTCCAGCTGACTAAAATGAGCACAATTACATTTATAATTTGCTTAAGGACAACCTAAAGCTAATCAACAACAATCTTAAAGCCAAGAGTCACTTCGTTGGAAACCATCTCACCATCGTTGACATCTACTTCACTTTGATTCAACTAGAATTATAGCAGGCTACAATGGACACTAATTTCAGAAACTCAATGTCAAATCTGAATAATCACTTTAAGACTATTATTGCTCTCCCAGAGTTCAGAAGTCGCATGGGTGCAGTGAAGCAAGGCAAGAAACAACTAATCCCACTATTCGACAAAGATGCAGGTTCCAAGGACCTCAATAAAGCTCAAAAGAAAGAAAATAGCAAGCAGAAGGCTAAATAATGAAAAGTGATTGATTAGTTAATTATGCGAGTGCAAAAAAGAATTAATTATTAAATTATTAATCATTAATATTGTTCTATTGAATAATTAAGCATTTCATAAGTTATTAATATACTGACTGCTTTGCAACTGCAGTTGATTAAATGAATTAGTATAACTTAAATTCTAAATTGAAAACTATCAAATTAAACTCAAAACTAAACTTAATCAAAGTATCACAACAACTTCAAACCATGTTAATTTAACCAGACATACAAAGTGATATAAGTGGCGACTAGAGTTAAAACCCCATGTAGCACACAGGCAAATGGGGAAGTGTTAGCTAAGCCTAGACTGAGACAGTCAAAGACTATGTAACTCTGTCAGACGAGAAGGCCTTTAAATACAGTCACATTGATGAAAACATTATCAAGATCACTGATCAGGCTAAGAGCTTATTAAAGGACTCTATAGATACAGTATCAATGAATCAAATTTAGGAAGAGAAGGAGACTGATCCTAGATCTACCTCTGACTTTAAGAACTATGAGATCCGAGATAAAGATTTAGACGAGAAAGTTGAAATACTAGAAGTTAACGACACTTTCTACAATTCTCATTAAAGATAATAGCATTAGAATTACTAGCGAGTAAAGTCAACAGGAATTATGAAGAAATAGATAAGAAAAATAGAAGCAAACAAAGAAAACCTTGAACTTCTTAACAAAAAGACTAGAAATCACTTTGATCAGTCCTCCATTCAACAGAGCAAGGAACTGCTTCCATTGCAAAGCCCAATCCGTAGCAAGATCACTAAGTTAAAGGACATCACAAATATAGTTAATGACCCGAAGAAACTTTAGTTCACGTTTTTCAACGAGGAATAATAGTCGTTAAACGGTAAATTGCAATAACTGCAGCCGCTTAAGACAACTGAAGGTATTCATCAATCAGGCCATAATTAAGCATTCCGCAGGAATAAGATTGTGTAAAAGGCACTCTCGAGATCTCCTAACATACTTCCAGATTATGAGTAGCACCTTCAATCCTCATCAATAATTAGCACAAACGGCAATTCTATCATTCTTAATCAAGGCAGCTTCAGCGTTCAAGATTAGTATAATAGGAGCAAAGAAATCTTACCAAAGCAAGCCTTTAACCCCTCCTAGGCATTTGGACTCTATGGAGATAATATGAGATCAGTGAGTAGCATTCCACCTAGAATGGGATCAAATGACTCTGCGAATAGATAATCTATACACCATATGAATGGTCCATTCCAGCGCAGATAAACTCTAAATGATACATTCTCTTAAGAGAGATGGAAGCAGTAATCATCTCAGAGCTCAATGGGTAATGGCAGCATTGTTTCTCAGTACGGAATAACCTATGGTTAATAGGCTCAGTAATAGCAAATGCAGTCCATTAACAAGTTCGATATAGTTGAGAAGATTAGAATATCTTATGAGATCATCCAAAACAGAGAGAAATAGCAGTAGACCTAAAACAGCATCAAGAACAGATTCCAGATCAATACTGCTGCTGAGAGCTACAATTTTGTAGACAACAGAGACGGTGCAACAAGCAGGAATTTGAAGTATCACTAGTCATAGATGCAGTCTAAGGAATCTTAGCAAAACTCAGTGGTCATTAAGAGTCAACGGAAAGGCACTTACCAGGATAGCTCTAATTCAATATACAAACTTAACATTCCAAAAAGACATAGCAATGCTCCTCTTCCTCAACAGTAAATGCCAGTGCAATAGTAGTTCAGTTCCACATATGAAAAATCTGATAACTATCTTAATCAAACATTTTTGAAGCTGCCATAGATAACTAAAGGCCAGTCATCGCATGTCGATACTGAAATTAACACCAAGAGAGAGTTGAGAGGAAACAACAATAAGGACTGAGATCAAAAGAAAGAATTATATTCTGAATGTACAAATATATGATAATTATTTACACTAATTTCAAATTAATTTCTAAACTATTTTTTTGATAAAATTTTTTACTCTAGGGGTTTTGGGGTTTTGGGGTTTTGGGG